AATATAAACAGTACAGAACCTCTATGAAATGTAAAACATTCAAAAGGGAAAGGTAGGTCTCCATTCAGATGACTGGCGTTTACTGAGCATGTAATCACTTAGGTAAACAATGTGCTCAGCATTTGCCAGGCATTAACTAATTGACTCCTCATTACAACACTGTCAGGAGTGTTTTAATTATCCCCATTCTGCAAAAGAAGAGACTGAGCCCCAAAGAGGTTTTACAGCTCACCCAGGTATGAAAAGAGGACTGAAGCAAACCAGAAGCTCATGCTGCTTACTGTACTGAGTAACAAAATCCTTCGTCCCTGACCCAAGCATCTCACATTTTCTAACCATGTCTGTGCTGCTAGAACTGGCTAACCTGCTGGCTTGCAAGTTGGTGAAATCTCCCAATTACTGACACCTACCCAGCTCCAATCAGTGAGGTATCCTCTGTCCAGCAGATGTAGCTCAAGGCCAGCAAGTAAAGGGCCATTCGCACTCCCATGGATCACTCAGTTCCCCAAGTGGTTGAAGTTTTTCTCTCCTTCTTAAGGGTGAGCTGAAACCTCATTTTTCATAAAGGGACTCTCTTAATTCAAGTCAGCCTTTCAAACAAGGAAAAACTTCACGTGTGCAGGCATCCTCAAACTACAGCCCGCGGGCCACATGCAGCCCACCTAGGACATTTATCTGGCCCACCAGGTGTTTTTGCCTGTCCTGCTTAGCAGACGACTTGTCCCAGGGCCACAGTCCGGCCCTCCAACGGTCTGAGGAACAGTGAACTGGCCCCCTGTTTAAAAAGTTTGAGGATCCCTGTATAAAGCTTCAAACCCTGAAGGTATTGATTTTATCTTCCTCCATATACCTATAGCCTTCAGCCATTCCTAGAATGTGAAACTTTCAGGCTTCCCAGTCTGGATTCTTCCAAATGCAAAAATAGCTGCCATGTATTGAACATTCATTATGTGATAATCCCTTCACCTGCTTTTCTTATTTAGTCATGCCAAGAACTAAATAGGTAGGCTCATATAGTGTTTCAGTTTTATAGATGAGATAGGTTCTGAGAGGTTAAGTAGCCTGGATAAGGTCACACAGCCAGCATGTGGCAGAACCAAGATTATATTTGACTCCATCCCCTTAACACTTGATTTTGCTCTGTTGCCTCATTTCACACATGCCCCAATTTTGAGGGACTTTTTATGCCCAGACAGATTAAATAGTCACCAGGCACTATAACTTTTGGTAGAACTGAAACACCACAGGCCTGTAATCTTAGCACTCTGGGATGCCAAGGTGGGAAGATCACTTGAGGCCAGGATTTCAAGACCAACCAGAGCAAGAACAAGACACCATCTCTACTAAAAATAGAAAAACTAGCCGGGTTTTGTGGTGGGCAGCTGCAATCTCTGCTACTGGGAAGACTCAGGCAGGAGAATCCCTTGAGCCCAGGAGTTTGAGGTGGGAGTGAGCTATGATGTCACCACTGCACTCTAGCTGGAGTGATAGAGACTCTGTCTCAAAAATAGAAAACTACCAGAGTCCAGGTCATACATGAAGTTCTCTGGGGAAATGGAACTACTAAAATGAATTTACAAACCAGTGGCACCCAAGTTCCCAACTTTCTCAGTTCTATTAAAAAAAAAAAAATAAGTAGCTAGGGGCAGGGCCTGGTGGCTCACAGCTGCTTCCAGCACTTTGGGAAACCCAGGTAAGAGGGTGGCTTGAGGACAAGACCTTGAGAACATAGTGAGACACCATCTCAACAAAAAAAAATTTTTAATTTAAAAATTTATTAGCCACATGTGGTGGTACATTTGTAGCCCTGGCTACTTGGGAGGCTCAAGCAGGAAGATTACTTAACTCAGAAGTTCAAGGCTGCAGTGAACTATGATCATGTCACTGCTCCAGCCTGGATGACAGAGTGAGAGTGTCTGTCTCTAATTAATTAATTAATTAATTTTTAAGTAGCTATAATTATACATCTAAAGGAAAAAATTTAAATTTTTTAAGTTTCCTAATATTCCCAAGGATAATCTTAAAAGTGTAGGTGTTTTGTGACCCAATCACAACATGCCTACACCAGATGAAATTTTCAAAAGGATCCCTGAACCCTTAACTCCACAGGACTCTCCAAGTTTCTGAACTGCCCTTCAGCCAACATCTTTCCACTGAATTATGTTTGCTGCCCTCTTGTGGAGAAAAGATGCTACTTACAGGCCAAAAAAGAAAAAGGAACAAAAGGACAAATTGCTAGTTGACAAAATAACAGTTAAACCCTGTTTCTTTAAGAATAGCATTTTTTTAAAAACCTTGATTTTAAAAGAATATCAGATCATCACATTGTACTCCACAAATGTATACAGTTATTATTTAATAAAAAATTAAATTTAAATTTAAAAATGGCCATTTTTAAATGGCAATTGGCCATTTACTTTCTATGGCTTACAACTACACAAGTCCTACAAGTGGTCTCCTCAATCATTATGGCAAATAGAATTTTAAAAACAAAAGTGGTCTTTTGTGCTTTATAATTTTTTAAAAATACTACTTCTTGACTCTAGTGGAATTTCATCAATGCCATTTGCCTTCAAGAAATAGTCCCGGCTTGGTGCCTGTGGCTTAAGTGGCCAAGGTACCAGCCACATACACCTAAGGTGGCGGGTTCAAATCCATCCCGGGCCTGCCAAATAACAGTGACTGCTGCAACCAAAAAACAGCCAGGCATTGTGGCGGGCGCCTGTGGTCCCAGCTACTTGGGAGGCTGAGGCAGGAGACTCGCTTGAGCCCAGGAGTTGGAGGTTGCTGTGAGC